CTGCTCAGATACCTGTTCCCGGCCCTCCTGCTTCACGGTGAGTTCCCGAGGGCGGCTCGCTGCGAGCCCCGAGCCCAGGCGCGCCGCGGAAGCCCCCGAGAAGTCGGGTTGGGTCGCAGCCCGGTCTACACCGTCCCCTCGGCGGCTGCGAGGAGAGCCCCACGCCCGCCTGCTCAGCCCGGGGAGAGAGGGGACTATGCCCGGCTTCCTGGGCTCGGGCCCCCTTCCCCCAGCGGCGCCCAGAGCTGCTTTGCAGCAGGACTGTTCTTTCTGGAAGGGTGCGAAGCTCTCCCACGCCACACCTTTTATCTCCAGAATCCATCGCACCACGTCTGAGGGAGAACTTTCACCCACTGCGTTGCATTTTCTCACCGTACGTATGTGGCCTGTCATGAGTCGCAGGCTTCGCGAGTCCGCTTCCACAGTGTCAGGGTGCAGCCGGGGCCCTTGATGTGGTCCAAGCCTTCACGAGACTGTAAAGAGAAACTGTTCATTTAAGGGGGAGACGCATCTCGCGGGTGTTTGTCTGCCTCCCTGGGACTGGAGTTTGTTGTCTGCGTGCACACTGGCTCCCTGTTGAGAGGGTGGTGGGGGGTTTTCTCCCAAGTGGACTGTTGGGTTCTCCGGGTGCAGTTTCAAGAAACAGGGGACTCCTAGTAGCCAAGATATCACCATTAAAACCATTCTCCTAAGGTTCACGAGAACTTGACGCCTTATTTCCTGTGCTTCCTGTGCCACATTTTCTCAGGAGTTCTAGTAAACCTTTAGCTCAAGAACTTAAGCACTTTGAAAGGGTTCCAGGAATTGCACTGAGAAAAATAAGACAGAATTGCCTTAGGGTGAGCAAGGCAGGTTTTATGGCAGGTCGTGGTTGCTAATCATGACAGGCCACGGCAAAGCACATTGTGCTGATTCAGGTGTCCTGTCCCTAATGGCCAGACACCTGACATTCTGTAGAGTGACCTCACGGCTCTCCTTCCTCAACACCCACCACGGCCACTCCAAACCTGCAGCTGGTTCCAGCTTCAGAGTGCACTGTAGCCATGACTGAAAATTGGGCTGCGGACCCCCCAGAGGAGCAAGGAAAGGGAAGAGATTTTAACGCACAAGCTGCTGTGATGCTGTTTTCTTTGTAGTCCTGCCCGGGATGGGTGGCTCTCGTAGCTCCACAGGCCTTGTGAACTTGTCTGGCTGGGCCAGAACTGCCCAATTGCCCAGGTGTGCTCTGAGCCCCAGCGATCCCATAACTTTAAAAGTCAGGATGGAAGGCTTGCAGTTCGAGGGCAAAAGAGAGAAGGTATAATTATAGGGTTGGACTCCTAGGCCCATCTGCTTAGAATTACAGAGCAGTTTTAATCTTTGGCAGAAACATGAAACAAATCGGAGCCAATGAACAGATCAAACAGCAGCTGCCACACACAAGAAAAAAGAGAAGAGAGAGATGAAACAGGGAAAATTGTCCCCTTTAAAAAAATCATAATATCTGCGAAGAAAAAGGTAGTATTGTCAAATGACTTTAAAATAAAAACTTACTTGAACATTTGGCATAAAAAGATTTTTTTTGCATAAAATCATTGCCTTGTAAACTACAAAAGCTATCCTCAGAGATGCAACCTGGTCTAACTCTGAACATTTTCTCCCTCACTTGAGAGGCAGGGATTGTAATTATACTTCCTACCTACCAGTCCAAGCTGGGATAATAATAGCTGGCAGGTAACAAGAGCCCACGTATATCCTCACTGAGGGTCTAGTGTAGCCAGAAATCTCCCAAATTTGAGTCTGGAGTCTGAAGTAACTCCCTGGGATCTTGGGGTAGGGGGGAAGGTTTACCTAGACCACTGGTCCTGGAAGGGGGACAGGGAGCCGAGGAGTAACCAGAAAGGGCAGTCTGAGTACAAATGGGAGCACAGTGGAGCCAGACCATGTGTGTGCACATGTGTGTATATGAAGGGAATATAAGATGAAAAGAGAGTTTTGCAAAGTTTAATTGGATGATATGGATAAACTCATAAAAAGTTAATCCAATTTCAAAGTGAGTCTGCAGTGGCAAAATTATTAAAACTGAAGTTGCCCAAAGATCTGCTTAGATGCAGCAGGAGTGTCAAACTTTAGTGCAGAAAATAAACAGAGGGAATAGTTGTTCAAGTTATAAATCTTCAAGATTTAAGAAAGCATTGTCATAATTCGATAGGATAATGTAAAGCACTAGAAAAGAACTGGATATTCTGTCTTTCCTCCCCCCGATACTCCCCTGACCCCATGACTTTTCCTTGATTGAAGTAGTTTTAACAGCAAATGGGCATTAACCTAACCTAAGAGAACGTTTGATGAGTGGGTCCTACTTGACAGATAGGGGTTTTGCAGGCATTTAAAAATTCTGTCGTAACAGATGGAGCTTGATTATATATTTAAATAGAAGTTATAAATCTGAAGGAAATTGCCTGAAATCTTAGAATGGATTAATGATTTCCTGCAAAGTAGGCATTTTATTTGCTAACCATGTAATACCTTTTGTCTGTTTATAGTAGCAACTTAGTAGGTAAAAGCATATGTTCTAGGGTTATGAATGTTCTTATAATAAACTTTAATAAATTTTTTTCAGACACAACTCACAGATTATTTGTTATATCAAAAATCAGGTTAATAAGATGAAAAAGTGCATCCTGTGTGAGGATGCTGTAGATACCATCATGTTTGGCATCCAGTCTTTGTTCAGTTTTTTGGCTACTTCTATTTCAATTCATTGCAAGTTATAAATCACCCCTAAATCCTATCAGTGAGTAAATTAGGCTCTGGCAAGACTCGAGGCTCTTGTTTATTTTTGCTATTTTTTAAGACTGTAAATGTAGAGACCCAAGTTCAAAATTTGATGGCATGAAAGTATACATGTCAGTTTTACTTTCCTCCCCTTCAAATTCTGAAAACAATTGCATTTCTTAATCCAAATAAAGCCTATTGAATGTCACAGAGGTATGCAGCTGGAAGATGTCCATTATCACTGTTTTCTTTGCTTAGATAAAAGCCACAAAAGTTTCAGATGTCAAATTCTAAAAATCATTCAGCTCCAAAAACACAGATTAGCATGAGGTATCCAGAACAAGTGGGGCTTTAATGCATAGCAAAGTGCTAATTCTCTTTGCTAAGGGAAGCGTTTGATTTTAAGTTTTGGAGCTGATGTTGGGAGAGAGGTTCTATTCCCAAATGCAGTTTACTTTTGTAGAATTCATTGACTTTTCTGAGAGGTGAAGGTTCTTTCAGCTCTTTGCTTTCATGCAAGCTTATTCTGTCAAAACTTTTAAAAACTGTGTAGATTACCAAATGAGAGCTTAACCGACAAAATGTGAGGAAACATTTAAATAGAGTAAAATAGAAATCTTTGAAATACCATTTTACCGGACAGTTTTTGTAACCAAGAAAACATTGTCTTTCCTGCACTTTTTTTTTCCTTCTTAGTCATAGGAAGAAAATGAAATCTTGAAAAGAAACATGACTCATCTATACACAACAGGACAAGGGTCTCAACTTAGACAGATGTTAAATATTCTCTTGTTGAATAAATTGACTTGCCTCAAACATGTGGCTAAGGAATTTTATAATAGCCATGTTCATTCTTTTTCCCCCTAAATGAGAAAAGAACTAAATATAGGTGGGTGATATGACTATGTAATTACATACTACTGTTTAGGGACAGGCTGATGACAACTTGATATAATCAATCAAAGTGAAGCATAAAACATTTCAGACCAGAAATAGAAAATGATATGTTAGTGGTTGTATTCTGAAAGCATACACAGCATTCATAGACTTCACCTGGAGTTGAGGTGATCACAGAGAAAACATCAGGGAAAAAGATCTGCTGCCATCCTCCAAGTAGGATTTCTTACTGGGTTGATTTTGTGTACATAGGCCATTGGTTAGTTCACTCCAATTTAAGAATAAAATTTTTCTGGAAAGTCATGTGATAGGTAAGTACATATGTAGGTTAGAGAAAGCATATGATGTCACCCTAAAATTATTAAGAGTATTCTGTTCTGTAAGCATTTTCCAGCTTCATTCATTCAGCTAGCCATTTGTTCAATAAGTTCATTTATGAAGGCCTACTATTGCCAAGTGCTAGGGACAGGGGCCAAGGGAGGATGGCACAGTGTGGTTGATTGTGCTATTGTACTATTTTCCCTGCTGGGAATCCCACCAGCCTGAGTACACACACATCACACACCATCCACACACACCCACACACACACACAAGTGTGCTGAAGTGGGTGGGTATGGCAGCAATCAGCTGCAGACCCAACAGGCAAACTTTGCAACCTCTGGTGCAGCCCCAATGTCCAGTCTAAGGCCTAAGATGATGATATAGAAAAGGAAGTTGTTTTCAAATAAAGTTAAATGGAGCCAGGAATTTAAAATCTTGACTTGATTATATTTCTCACAAAGGGAAAATACTTCTAGATATGAAGGTTTAAAGATTGGTAAAAGCAGTTTTCTTAGCTTTTGTTTACTGCAAAAAAAAAAAATTGGAAATCAAACCAAGAATTTGGTAAGCACAGGTAGTAAAATCCAGTACTGTCCGTGATACATACATGCTTTATTCTGAAAAATGGAAAGCTCTGTTGGAGTTTATCTACCAGTATCCACTTCAAAGCACACCTTTACAGTAAGGATTGCTTATTTAATTGGGCAGGGCAATTTCATGGCTAAGTAATTACATGCATTTAATCTAATGAGTCACATTTTATGTATCAAGCCAGTTCTAACTTGAGAAGACTTTTCTCACTCTGATTATCAAAGTATATAGGGCACATTACATAAAATACAGAAACATACAAAATGAACAAGAACATAATCAAAACCCTCTACCCAGAGCCAACCATTACTAATATTTTGACATTATAGTTATTTAGCCTCTTTTAAATTAAGGATTTTTCTTAAGCATTAGAGTACATATATAGAGATTAAGTTGATCAAAGATTAGTTTAGTTCCAAGTGTTCTTGAAAATTATTGTTTCCTTCCCAATGCATTTTACATTTTATTAT